CTTCCCTCTCAACAGTGATGGTTGAATAGTGTTAAAAGCACTTGAGAAATCAAAAAACATGACCCTCACAGTGTTCCCAGGGGCCTCCAGGGAACACTACCATCTTGTCCTATGCAGGGTCATGCGGCTCCAGGGCTTATTTGTGGAAGCTATGGGCACAAGGCAGGGAATAACCCAGGACAGAGCACCAACCCATTGCAGGGCACACATACCATTCACACACACATTCACACCTATACTATGGCCAATCTGGAAACCAGTTCACCTTAGCATGTTTTGGGACTGCCGGGAGAAATGGGAGTACCCAGAGGAGATCCCACGACAACACAGGGGAGAACCTGCAAACTCTACACATTCCACACTCTGGCCTCAGGGGGGCTGAGACAACAGTGCTAACCACTGTGCCACCGTACCGCCCCTTGACCAGTGTCATTTTTGTGAAATTTTTCGCATTTCCTATGTTTAGGTCTGAAAACGTTGTGACATTGTTTCAGGGGATGTTAAGACTTCAGTTAGCACAGAGTGAAACCATAAAAGTCCGGTCTGTAAAACTTTTGAAAAGAATGCTGAATCTGTAAATGGTTTAATTTCATTCCACACCAACTATACACCAAAAATAAACATATTTTTTAAATTACTTTCACAGTAATAGTATGGTCTTCTATTGTCTGCGTGTTAGCAAAACAAAATTATATTAGCACTGGGAAACAGAACACAAATTTAACACCATTAAACATTAATAAACATCCTTAATTAAGTTAATATCTTTCCTCTTATTATTGAGAGCTGATCCTGGGAAGCTGATAGTAAGCATGTTCCTGTTGATTTCCAGCCCATTTTTCCATCACATGGAAATATGTCCAGTTAAAATGTCATTTTACACCTTAACAGTGTTAAGGTTAAGTATCACTGTAATATGTAAGAAAGCACAGGTAAACTGAAGGAGGGTGAGATGCCTGAGAAGGAATCCTGAGACAAAAACACATCTGCATGGTACAACAGAACAAAACATGTCAAACAAAATAACACCAAATAACAAACAGAAGGTACTATCACACAACACACAAAATGGGTAACGAACAAAAGGGACCATCACATACCCAAAATAGGTAACAAACTATAAGCAAAACAACAAACAAAGGAACTATCACATCACACAACAAACACATAATGAATGAAAGAAACTTTCACACAACACACAAAAATCAGGTAATGAACAAAAGGGACTAATACACAACACACAAAACAACAAACAAGAGGGACTATCACACAACACAACAAACATGTAATGAACAAAAGGGACTATCACACAACACAAAATAGGTAAGAAACTAAAGAGGTCATCACACACACAATAGGTAACAAACCATAGGGACTATCACACAACACACAAAACAGGTAATGAAAGAAACCGGCTATCACACAACACATAAAAGAGGTAAAGAATCAAAAGGACTCACACAACAAAACGGCTGACGAACGAACGAAATGCCAGACACTGTCATAAAATACATACCACACATAACAGGGGGCCCTCGCACAATACATCAAGCAAATAACTAAAAAATAGGAGAATCGTGCGAAATGAACCCAAGTCACCAAAGAGCACCACTACACAAATACCGCCATAACTGCCATGATCTAAAACTCCGCTGCTGCAGCTGACCCTGTTTATACCCAAACAAACCGCCAATTTAATCAGGGTTAGCAGCGATTCATTCATCCTGGAGCTTCTTGGCACCAAGCTGGTGATCGGAAGCCATGGAGACTCCTGAATGGTCTCTCACTGGGATTTTAGTTTCTCTCCCCAGTACAATCATACTTACCCGACACTAATAGACAAATTTTAAACTAAACCATTTTGTGTTTATTCTGAGGATGTATTTCCTATCCAAAGAGCATTTTGAAAAGCTCATATTGGCTCTTTAATCAATTATTTACCTGTGACATTTACCTTTTATTACATTAATAATATAAATATCACCCTTACAAACTGCATACAGATGTAATATAAAACCAAAGGTTTCATTTGCACTTAAAAGACCCACTCAGCACTGCTAAATGACATATTCGGCATGGGCTGTAATACGGTAAATA